TCATCAGTGCAGCTGACTGGTTGCGAGAAGAGATCTTAAAACATTCTTGATTCCATGCCTCTTAAAGACATAGCCCTTTGTGAGAGGAGAAAACAAAAGGAAAAAAAAGAAAAGAAAAGGCTAGAAAAAGAGAATACCAGTGGGAAGTTTGTAATCAGTAAATCAGCTTTGAAGATGTGCATTACAGTTTTCAGAAAGGCTCAAATGTACAATTAAAATATCAGCAGCTAAATCAACCCATTACAAGGCAATCCATACTCTCTGTACGCATGCCTAAACATTAGGTTAAGATTGATAAAAGCAACTTTGCTTATGACTAGACTGAGACATTGCCCTTAGCTCGAGGTGCCCTGCGATGCCAATGTCAATGCCAGATGAGTGATATCAGTATATCTGCTTTAGCAGATCATTTGGATGTCCAGGTGAATGAGCAGGACCTAAAAAAAATACTCTGGTGGCGGGATATTTCATACTTTCTCATCTTCATCTTGGTGAGGGGAAACGGGTAATTTGATAGAAGCTATAGTCTTATATCAAACAGGAGGCGAATGCTAGTAGTTGTTTGCTCGAATGTCATATCGAACAGCGTACCCAAAGGATTTTGAATTCCAGCCTGCTAACCACTGATAATGTGATTTTGTAGTACGTGCTCTACAGTTTTCATCTGTGTGTAGGCTGTATACTTTCATAATAATAATTATGATACATGCCTTATTTATAACTCATCTAGACAACAAATTAGTTATTTTTTCCTTTTCTCTTAGTCTATTTTTTTAAATGAAAATGAAACCACAGAGTAGTTTGATCATACATACCATTTCTCTTTTTAATAAAGTTTCCCAGATTATAAAACGGCTATTTGCATTTTTTTTTTTCACTAAGTACTACCAATCCCTGGACTTGGCATAGGAGATTGGTTAAAAGAGAACTATCTCTTAGATTTAGCAATTATCTTAGTTTTAGCAATTATCTTAGATTTAGCAATTATCTTAGTACATGCTAAAGGAAGTGAAACAAAAATAACAATATATCTCCAGGAATAATAGGACTGGGGGGGGGGGGGGGGGGGGGGGGGGGGGGGGGGGGGGGG